TGGTTGTTGTTGCTTTTGAAACAAGGTCTCTAGCCCAGGCTGGCCTTGAGCTCCTTACATAACCAAGGGTGGCCTTGAACTCTTGATCCTCCTGCCTTTCACCTCTCTGTGTGCAACACCATGCCCTCTTCCTTTAAAATCTTTTAAAAGCTTAATGAATTTCTTGCCTTGATGAAGTTTCTAACCCCATGATGTCTATTTCTAAGACCTAAGATCAAGATCTCTTTGAAATATAGTTGTCAAGAAAAAGACTGGGCTGGAGTTGTAGCTCTGTGGCAGAGTACTTGACCAGTTTTATGAGGCCTTGAGTGTGATCCGAGAGAGAGAGAGAGAGAGAGAGAGAGAGAGAAAGAGAGAGAGAGAGAGAGAGATTGGGTAGGATAGGAACCTAACCTGATCCTGGAACCTCCCACAGAAATACAAAATTGCTTCCTCTTAAGACGTGAAACATTTATTTTTCTTTTCCATAAAGCCAGTTATCTAGGAGATTATCATACCAATTGCCAAATGAATTAGGATAAACTATGAGTGAAATAATGTAGCCAAGTCTTCCTTGAGTCTCTTTCCACCTCCAAGAGCATGCATGTACCTGTTGGCATCAGCTTGTGTACATAAAAGCTGTAACAGTTTCCTTCTGCTTTTTCAAAGTACATCCCCTGTGATGTGCATCACATTCTGGTTTAAGGTTTAGACAATAAACTGTTTCATTTATTTTCTACCTTTGTGGAGAGGTTCTTAGGAGTATGACAGGTTTTGTTATTTCTTCAGGAAAAAAAAAAAAGAGTAGGCACTACACTACACACAGCTGAACATCAATGTCAAAGGCATCCTGAGATCCTCAGAACCTCAGATGTGCTTCTTTGGCTGTAACCTAGCCACTCATCCTACCCCGATGTTTATACTTTGGGAAATAAGAGTGTAGGTACAGAGGACATTCCTGTGTCCCAATCATACATAATCCATTTTAATTAATGTCTAACCTGGGCACTAAATTGAATGTAGCCAGTGAATACTCTGTTGTAGTCACTCAATTTACAAAGGAAGAATTGGGCCAATGCCCACTTCATGGCACTGCCTACCACTAAATGGTGGGTAAGGAGGGGTATACTATTGGTTCTATCAGACAGAGTCTATCCAAATTTGTCAGAATTCTCAATGTTCCCTAACATACTAGTCAAAGGGTACCAAGTTGCAGTCACACAGGAAGAATAAGTTTTAGTAACATATAGCAGAGGGAGCATAGTTTAAAGTAATATTTCATGTTTCACAGTTGCTAAGAGCAGCACAGTTTAAAGTTCCCACCACAAAGAAATGATTATGTGAGGTAACAAAGGTGGTAATTATCTGGATTTAAACTTTCTGTGGTATGTACACATATAGCATCATATTATATTCCACATAATAGATACAAGTAGCATTTGTCAATCACAACTAACCAGAGGTGGTGGTATATGCCTCTCATCCCACTACTCTGAGGCAGGGGGACCACAAGTTGGAGGCCAGTCTGGACTAAATACCAAGACACTTTTAGACAGACAGACAGATCATCCTTAATAAAAAGAGTATCAATGAGAGACAAAGGACATTGAAACAGATAAAAGTATTTTTATGATCAGAAAGAAAGAAGCAGCAGCTGTCACATAGTTTTGTCCTAAATTCATTGGGTGATTGGATCAAAAGTCTGCTACTAACAGGCATTAGGCAAAGGAAAAACAAACTTCTTCCATTTTTCTGACAAGACAATTTTGATTTCTGAGGCGGGGGCGGGGGGAGGAATACCTGAGAAGTCATCTGTGTCTCTGGGGAACTCTGGAATATGTTTTAAGATGCAAATAGGTGAGGCATGGTGGCATACATCTGTAATTCCAGCACTCAGGAGGCTGAGACAGGAAGAATTCAGGGTGTTCCAGGCCAGCCTGGGCTACAAATGTGAGACCCTGTCTCTAAAACAACAACAACAACAACAACAAAAGAACCAAAAACCAAGAACAAAACAAAAAGCAAACGTGTTGATCTGTGTCTCCAGGATTCTTATTTGGTAGATCTTGATGGAGCCTTACCACCTACTCTTTCTCAACGCCTCAAATGAGCTAAAGGGGAAATAGCCTTACATACATTGGTTTAGGGCAATCTGTGTGTATAAAAATTCTTATTTTGATGGTAGTAGAAAAGCTGCGTAGAGTCAGAAGACTGTGGAAACATATGGGGAAAGTCTAGGACACAGCAAGCTATAGAGATGAGCACATAGAGGACAGAGAGCCCTCACAGTCTGGAAGTTAAGATCTGCACGGGCAGACACAGTGACAGACTCCAGAGCATGGTGGGGTGGGCACACATGTGACCAGGACTCCATGGGTGTACCCGCTGCCTTTAGAACTCAAGTCTGCAGACTGATGAACAGATGAGCAGTAACAATTTCATCCTAGAAAACTAAGATTACCATCTTCTTGATTTCCAATACTGACGACCTTTGTCAGTTGACGGCACAGAGATGTCTCTGCGTCCGGCACATCTTTCTCCAGAGAACCTGAAGCTGAGGTCTGAAGGCAGAACAGCTCTTCCCAATTCCCAGCTACTTTCAGTTCCACATCTCTCAGGTCCTCCCTCACATCCACAGTTCCTACCACCTCCATTCAGCTCTCCCACAGTTCACCTTCTAGATTAATCTGCAAATCCAGTGTTTGGTAATATATGAGCAAGTGTTGGCTTGGAGAATGACCCTACATACACTTTCCCCCAAATTACAGGGCTCCAAAATACAAATTTATAGAACTAATTACTTAAGATGGCCTTCTGTTTCTTACAAAACTGATAATGAGCTCATGTCCCCGATTTATACAGGGAAAATGTCTTGGGACACAAAACCCAGCTGTTAATGAGCCCAGAGAGTAGACACCTACTCTACACTAAGGAGGAAATCCAAATAATGAACTGGCTCCAGGACAAAGTTCACTCCCCATAGCCCTGACTTTGAAAAAATGCCCCAGACTCCCATTAAATCAGGGAAAGAGATCCCCACAGGACAGTCCCCAACACACCAACTATTCTTCCCCAAGAGGGGTCTTTACTTTCATCTTGTCCCAGTGTCACCACTGAGTGTCAGAAAGGATATCTATTTGTACCTAGAGAGCTTTGTTAATGAGTGACCAAGCCGAGTATTCTGTGATCATTGTCTTCAACCCATGTCCGATAATTATATACACCACCGTCCTTGTTACTTTCTATTGCTGTGATGAAAACACTGACCAAACCAATTTGGGGAGAAAAGGGCTTATTTGACTTACAAGCGCAGTCCATCATCAAGAGAAGCCAAAGCAAGAACTCAGGGCAAGAATCTGGAGGCAGGAACCGAAGCACAGACCATGGAGGAACACTGCTTACTGACTTACTCTCCTGGCCCATGCTCAGCCTGTTTTCTTACACAACACAGGACCACCTACCCAGGGGTGGCACCGTGCACAGTGGGCTGGGTCCTCCCACCTCATTCGGCAATCAAGAAAATGCCCCACAGGCATGGTCACATGCCAATCCAATGGAGGAAATTCCTCAATTGAAGTTCCCTCCACTAGGTATGTCAAGTTGACAACCAAAGCCATCTAGTACAATTGACCCCTTATCAATGTGTTTGACATACAAACACATCACTATTAACCCAAAACCTTTCCATTTATGGTCTCCAAAATATGTTAATACTAATATCACAGTATAAAACATTACAACTTTAAAAGTTGCAGAGTCTTTTGAAAAATTAAAACACTTTAAAAGTTCAAAGTCTCTTTAAAAAGTCTCTTAGCTGTGGGACCCTGTAAAATCCAAAACAAATTACAAGCTATCTTATTTCAAAAGGGAAGAACTGGGCACACTTGAGTACAACCAAAGTCCAACAATGTACTTCAATGTTCCCCGGACAACAGGGAGTCACTCTCAATCTTCTGGGCTCCAAAGAGCTTGAGCAGCTCCATTTCTCTGGGTCTGCCATCCACAGCATACACAGTTTGTCTGGTAGGCTCATACTGGCTCTACTCCACACCTGCTGCTGCCCTTCGTGGTCCTCCCATGGTCCTGGCATTTCCAATATGCTGGGGTCTCCACTGAAACTGAGGATGTACCTTCACCAGTGGGCTTTCTTGGCCTCTCAGGGTGCAAATCCTCAGATTCTCTCCGTGACCCCTTCAGCCCTGGGATCTTCACAAGTGAGGCTACACCTTCACCTATGGCCTTTGCTGGACCCTCACAGTGCCAAGTCTCAGTTGCTCTCTAGGACTCCTTCATGCCTTTAAAACCAGTACCACCTGGGAGACTCTTAAACATT